AAGTCCTAAACCCCCTAAACCCCCTAAAACCCCTAAACCGACTACAACCTGTAACACCCTAAACCCCCGCCCCCCAAACCTAAACCCAAAACCCTAACCCTAAACCCTAACACCCTAACACCCTGACACCCAAAACCCCCCTTAAACCCCCTTAAACCCCCTTAAACCCCTAAACCTAAACCCAAAGCCCTAAACCCTGAACCCTAAACCCTAAACCTAAACCCAAAACCCTAAACCCTAAACCCTAACCCCTGAACCCGGAGGTACTTGCTGCTAGTACCGCCGGCGTCCCCGCAACCTGAGACCGACGTACCGCCCCCGAAAGAGGCTGGGACACGTTTGCTTTGGGAGCTTCATGGTTCTGGCCTCAAAGGCGTTTAGGTGTAGGGCAAGTTTAGAGTTTAGGGTTTAGGGTTTACGGTGCCTTTTTGCCCTTGTTTGTGGTCCTAGGTTCTGTGTTTGAAGTGACCAACAGCAAGAAAGGGTACTCGTATTCTAGTATGCTAGCTCGGCTGCCAAGAGAATAAGTGTATTTTACCAAGAACCCCAAACTCAGGGCCCGTAAAACAGCGGCCCGTACCTTAGAATGTTAGATTCTGCGCTTTTGAGGCGGCGCCGAAGGTCGCTGCACCAGCTCTTCCGCCAGGCGGCTGTTCTAGCTTTAGGCATTATTCTTCCCTTATATGGTCCCTATATATAATTCTACTCTAGTAGCCCCCAAAACCCTATTCTAATTCTCTAATTATTATAGGCCCGAACCAAAAACGGCCCTGTAGATATTTTACATGTTCTCTTATAGGTTGGGATGTTCCCGTTATACCAGCAGTCCTTAATAGGGATTCTAACAGGGGGCACAAAAACTCCCGATTAAGGACTGTTAGTATAGGGGGGAAGAACATCCCAGTATAGGGTTCAGGAGGACCATGTTTTGGAAAATGTTCGAAGGCCATCCTAGGGAGGGGTTGTTACATGCCAGCTCGGTATCGGACTCAGACTTCCGGCAAAAAGTGACCATTTCCCTTGCGCAACAGAGGCGGCTTCTAAACCCTAAACCCTACAGACCCTAAATCCTATAAACCCTCAATTCTAAACCCTTAACCCTATTAACCCTAAACCCCTGCTGATCTTGTTTTCGGGGAACCACAAAGGGAATGGTTTGTCTTTAGGGGTTTAGGAGGTTGGTGATGCTTATTAAGGTCTATAAGGTATAGGGTTAGTTGATACAGGGCTTGTAGGGCTTATGGGGTATAGCCCTAAACCCTAAAACCTAAACCCTAAACCCTAAACCCTAAACCCTAAACCCTAAACCCTAAACCCTAACGCTCTTCCCCCCCCCCCCCCCCCCTCCCCGGGGTTGGAGCTATGTTATGTTGAGCCTCATGGTCCAGCTTCCTCCTAAGGGCTTTCCTTACATGGGTCTTCTCTGGGCGATCTCTTAAGCCAGGGTTTAGGGTTTGGGCTGGGGAAGACATACTTGCAGCAAGCCCGGGCTTTCAGCCAAGTCTGAAGAGCCCGGAAAGACCCCTAAACGCCGGTTTAGGGTTTAGGGTTTAGGGTTTAGGGTTTAGGGTTTAGGGTTTAGGGTTTAGGGTTTAGGGTTTAGGGTTTAGGGTTTAGGGTTTAGGGTCAACCCCAGGCCCAAGCTGTTGAGCCCGACACTTGCAAAGAAGATTTTTGCTGCAGTTTCTTTGGGTGTTTGCGACATTAGGTTTGGGGGTCTATATTAGGGGTGATTTTGCTGCAATTTCTCTGGGTGTTTGCGACAATTAGGTTTGGGGGTCTATGTTAGGGGGTCCCTGGTTTTCGTAGGCCCCCGTATGAGAATCAATACGGTTTGGAGCTTCGGGCTTAGGGTTTAGGGCTCAGGGTTTAAGAGCATTAGAATTGTTCTTGCAAATACGCCTGAAAACACCGCCGAAGCCCCAAAAGCCGCAACAAACGCACAGTCGAGGAACAAAGGAATCCTCAGCAAGCCCTTTTCCTTTGAATATTCATTATAGAACCCTCAAGCCTAGGTTAAGCCCTTTCCTTTGAATATTGATTGTAGAACCCTAAAGCCTAGCTTTAGGGTTCAGGGGTTGGGGCGCGAGAGACGTCGATCAGGCTGGTGTGAGCATCTGGATCCTGCATCGGGACGTCTCTACTACTGGCGAGAGGTGCGGGCGACGCGAGTTCAGCTCCTGCGTGTGGCGATGGTCACCTTGTCTAAGCGCATTTATAGGCATCCTTAAGTAGATAGAATATTTGAAAATCCGAAAATAAAAAACCCCCGTTTCCAAAACGATAGATAGAATATGAAAACCCCCAAAACGTTAGATAGAATATTGGCTGCTCAAAATTTAGGGCCAAGGGGCGCACCGGGGCCCACTATATTCTATCTATGGGTTCCCTTGTTTATGATAGTTTCGGGGATTTGGGATTTGGGGGTTTAGGGTTTCGGGTCTAGGGCTCTAAGCAAAAGGGCGGAGAGGCGCCTTCGAGGTCGGGGTTAACTATATTCTATCTACGGGTTCCCAGAGGAGTTGGGGGTGCTTTCTTCGGGATCGGGGTTGACTATATTCTATCTATGGGTTCCCACAGGAGTTGGGGGCTCTCTTCAGGGGAAAGGCGCAAGAGCAATTATTCCGCTCCCCTCCTCCTCTCCTCCTCTCCTCCCCTCCTTTCGTCCTTTCAACCCAAAAAACCCAACCCTAAACAACCCTAAACCCCAAACCCTAAGCCCGAAACCGCCCCCGTGCCCCTTTTGGGGGGCCTCCAATGCCTTTTAGGGGGGGGGGGGGGGGGGGGGGGGGGGGGCGGGGCTCCCTTCTGAGGGTTGTTGGGGCTCCCAACCCTCCTTATTCGGGTCACGTGGGGTTTTTTGGGGGTTTGTTGTTCGCTTCTGGGAGCCGCGGCGCCCCCCCCCTTTTCTGCATAAGGGTGGGGAGATCTCCTCATCTCCTCCTTTCCTCCTCTCCTCTTCTCCTCGACAATATTCTATCTATGGGTTCCTGCAGGAGTTCCTCCTCTCCTCTCCTCCTCCCCTCCCCGCTCCTCTCCTCTCTCCTCTCCTCTCCTCCTCTCCTCAACAGCCTGTTGCGCCTGCTCGCGGGAACCCCATAGATAGAATATACCTGGCCTCAAGCGTGGGCTAAAGCCCTGCAGGAACCCCCATGCCTGGAATACACCAGGTTTCAAGTGAAGACACATAGAAGCTCAGACGCATAGTCTCGCAGGTCGTCATTGTAACCCCATCTGGCGCTTGACGAATCTTGAAACCCATAGATAGAATATGTGTGCAGGAGGGCCCGAAAACGGGCGTCTTTTCGGGGTCCCGAAAATATTCTATCTATGGGTTTTGGGGGTCTTTGAGATATTCTATCTATGGGTTTCCATATTCTATCTATGGGTTCCTTCAAAAACGTGGGAAAAAGCCCAAAACCCCGAAAATAAAAAAAAAACAAAAAAAAAAACGAAAAGCATATTCTATCTATGCAAGGATGACTATAAGCACATACCCGACGCTCGAAATACCCCAAAGCCTAAATGACTAGATCTCAAACCACAGCTAAAGCCTGAAGCCCTCACCCGAGCCCTCAAAACCTTCAAACCACCAGCACAATAATAATCACTAAGGAGGAATATTTCCCCATATTTCGGGGATTTCTTCAGCAAATACTAGTGAACCCCGTAGTCCCAATATCCTTCAAACCACCAGGACAACCCGGCCGGTACGACGACCTGGACCCGACCATCTGCCTGAACCTGCAAAGCTCAGCCGCACCTCTCGAAGGATCTCCTACTCGGTTCAGGGGTTCTAGGGTTTTAGGGCTTTAGAGTTGTAGGGTTTAGGGTTTAGGGATTTTGGGGGTATTCAAAGGGCCCTATGCTAGGTACTACTCTTGGAATACTGGACTTCCAAAGGGTGGGATACCGGGTTTTGGGACAAGATCATACGAAGCTTGCGGGGGCTTGGTTCTTGGGGTATTAGGGTTTAGGGCTTAGGGTTTAGGGTTTAGGGGTTTAGGGTTTAGGGTCTTGAGGCACATGGGCCTATAGGACAGAATAATCTCCCGGAGTTTCCGACTTCGAGGTCTCAAGGCTAAGAACCTTGCAGCCTACTTGGAGGCTCATGGTACTCATGAACCCATTGTTAGAACTGTACTTATCACTGTACTTCTAACCATATTAGGGCACTTAAGGGGTACAGATATGATTGGTTAATAAGTACCATGAACCTCCAAGAAGACTACAGCCTCGTTCCTCTAAGCTCCTCGAATCCCCCCAGAAGGTCCTACAATCACCCTTATTATACGGCCCTTCGAGGTGTAGGGTTTTGGGGTTCCTTGCATCCCCTTAAGGTATGTTAGGGTCAGGGCTCAGGGTTTATGAGGTTTAGGGTTTATAGGGTTTATGTGGTTCAGGGGTTAGAACTTAGGGGCTCTGGGCCTTTGAGCCGGTGCGTGTTGGCGCTTGGGGCGCGAGAGACGCTCCTGTGCCCAGGAGAAAGGGAGCATCTTTGAGCCCTCTCCGAGTGAAGCGCAGCAGCATGTTGCAGTGTCCGCCTTGCCCGCTGCATCCGCAGACTTTCGTATACCTTGCACTTCTCGGTTCCAGATATGTACACGTGAGGCAGAACAGCAGCGATCAAATGAAGCGGAAGTCGCAAGTATTCCATCACCTCAAGTTTTAGGTCCTTCCGGTAGCGGTTCCAAAGGCCTATGCTCTGAGCTACACGGTCTCTAGCACGGACGGAAGGAATCAGCGTCCGACCATACTCTTGAGCTATCTTCATCCGCATCTCGCAGGTAGGTATTTTGCGACTGCGGCTTCTACCCAGCGACCCTAAGCCTGAACCCTAAACCCTAAAACCTAAACCCTAAACCCTAAACCCTAAACCCTAAACCCTAAACCCTAAACCCTAAACCCTAAACCCTAAACCCTAAACCCTAAACCCTAAACCCTATAAACCCTAAACCCCTAAGCCTGAACCCTTGGTCTCTGCGAGCTGCCGTGGTGCCATGGTCCTGGACCGGCCCCAATGTGGCTGTGCGTCTTGCTTCGGCTGGTTTCTTCAGACAGCTGCGGGGATCAAGGCTCTCGGGGTTCCGCACCAAGTCGCTTGCAGTACACAGAGACCAGCACTTCTGGGAATCTGCTGCGATGCTTTCCTTTCTGCATCTAAGAACGCAGATTTTGTTCGGACCGGACGTACTCCCCGATCCGCTCAACTCGCAAATCGATATTCCTGAAAAAAGCTCGCTTTCCGACAAGGGTGACAAGATGCGACAAGCAGGTTTAGAGCTTAGGGCTTAGGGCTTAGGGCTTAGGGTTTAGGGTTTTAGGGTTTTAGGGGAAATCAAGCGTGGGATGAGTTTGCCGAAGTCAGAAGGCGAGCCCATAGGAGGTTTCTGAACTTGAAGGCATCTTGGCGCTTGCAGAGGAGGCCCATGCTAAGGCCTCCCTAGGTATGCAGTCAGGTTGTTGCTTTTTGTCCTTCCCTTCCGAGCTTGCACCTAGTCGCATCGGCATCGCAGGGCCTTGGACCATCCAAAGCCACCTTTCCTAGACCCCCCACACACGAATCGCAAAGTTCTACACACTCAGCAAGTTCGCGCCGCACGCTCCTAAGCTTCAGTGGTTGAAACCACTTACTTTGCTTCGGGTTTGGGAACTTGTGGGGGGCTTATATAGAGGTTTGGGAGTCTATAGGTTGTGGCGCTGAGTCGCAACTTCAGACACAGCCTCCTTCAGCATCCCGGCGTGCTCACAGGAAGAGCCGACGTACGACTTGCAGGACCCCGCTGCCTTGGGCCGCTTCCTGCAGGAGCGCCGGGTTTACAGGGCTGGGAAGGTTTTGGGTTTTGTAGGAAGAGGTCCCCCAAGGGATTGATATTAGGGTTTTCATGAGGTTTACAAAGGATGTTGGTATTTACGGATTTATTCACCTGACATCCACGGCCGGGATCCGCGAGTTTTTATTTTTGCAGCCCTTGCCCAATGAAACAGCCGTCATCTTGCAAATGAAGCGCGCCGACCGAACCCATTATTCAAAGCAGGAGTATGCAAGGCACCAGGTTTTTTTCGTTTTTGAAAAATTACGCAATGAAACGACTGTGTTCTGGAGTTGTGCTTCGTTGGCGTTTCTCACGCTCTTGTTTCCTCATGAAAGCTCTTTTGCAAAAGGCGCCAATTCGGTTACGAAAATATGTACCTGCATATGTACCTGCATTTGCTTAGGCCTGATGTCTTAAGCCCGGCCCACTCGGCGCCTATAAGCCCTTGATAAAGCCCTCTACTGAGACCTGAAAACTTGCACTGCCCTCCGCGGGCTCCTGTTCTGGTCCCCCTCCCCAGCCCTGGTCTGCTTCCGTGGAGGCCGCACAGATTGGCCTGGTCCGGGTAGAGACCCTTGGCCTCGGAATCGGGAACCGGCGAGGTCTTTGCAACAAGAGTTTGATTATACGGTTTGGGGTTTGATTTCACGGTTTGAGGGCTGATAGTGCCGCAGGGGTTCGAGAGGTGTGTCATGGTGCGTCTTAGGATTTGCTATCGAGGTGGTGTTATGTTGCTTTCGGAGTGGGGATTTGAGGTATAGACAGGCTATGTTTTGAGGGGATGGGAGGATGAATCCTTCACGGTGTAAACGTGGTGCAACATGTTGGCACACGTCCTGTGAGCGCGCAAGTGCTTGTTGATACGAATATTTGCTGAGGTACCTCTACAAGTTGAAGAAGACCAAGATGGCCTTCCCGCGTCGCCAGGAAGCCGAGGCTGAGGTGTGCCTCCTCCCGGATGGCTCGCAACGCCCGGCCCTTGTGACGCCGCAGGAAATCTCTCAGTGGGTAGAAGGGGCCAAAAAGGCCATCATCTGCACCATCTCACACAGCTGGGAAACACGTGAGCACCCCGACCCGTGCCGTTTTCAGCTGGAACAGATAGTGAACTGCCTCAGCGTCTACGATGCAGCCTACTATGATGAAGTGTGGCTCTTCTATGATTACGTATCCCTGTTCCAGTTCGAGAGGCATGGGTCGGAAGAGCAGAGCTTCCGGCGGGCCATGGCCAACATGCATGTTGTATATGCGCATGAACACACGCGCACCTTTCGCATAGAACGTCTCACCCCGAAATCCATATGGGAAGCCAGCCTCGATGACCCGGTGCGGGTGTATGATCCGGAAGCTGGCAAAGTCATCGAGCGGCCTCTGAAAAGCCTGGTGGCCAACTTCGTCCCATACGGGGACCGGGGTTGGTGCAAAGCCGAGATAGAGTGGTCCTCAGCACGCGCCTCCAGCCAAAGCCACCGGCGGATCGATCCCCACGAGGAACGCGAGGATGGCGCTGGCCTCCATGGCAGAGTTCCAATGGCTCCCGAAGTTTTCAAGGAAGTGATGGCCCAGGCGAAGTTCACGCATCGCTCCGATGCAGACGCTGTGCTCCGGCTCCAAGAGCGGATCTTCCATGAGAAGGTCTCCAGCTGTGAGATGGCCGTGCTCTCGTACCTTCCCAAGCAAGAAGTCGCCTCCCTGGCGCGGGTGCTGTCAGATTACCGGCGGCTGCGGGATCTGCGCCTCCTTAGCATCAAGGGCGGGCAAGCTGAAGGAGAGGCTCTCGGCCGGGTTGGCAACTCAGCTGCAATCATCTTGACATTTGGGCATGTTGTCCCGACGGCATAGGCCATAGCAGCTCACAAGACGCTGCGCAAGCTCACGATCAGGATGGTTTCCAAGGCAGTTGGGACGCGGTGTATAGAACTCCATATATGAACAACAGTATATATATATATATATACATTTATATGGACACACATATTCCTTCATATAGATGTGTGTATATATGTATATAATCCCCCGCATTACATCGTGAGCATGTCCGGCAAAGTCCTTTTTCGGCAAGTCTGATTCTATATGAGAAAACCTTCAAAAAGTGCGAAGCGGGTGTGTTTAGCAGTAGTTGCACGTCATCACCAAAAACAAATGGGGAAAAAGTGCGAAAATGCTATTTAGTGAGCATTGTGTTTTTTATTTGCATAGAACAAGATTAAAACACAAAGTGTATCCAGGAAGCCACGACCCTGCTGTATTTTATATTTGATATTTTGGTTTTGTTTTCTTCGGGGGGGGGTCCCAAACCAAAGCATGCATCATTTTTGATTTTTGGTGTTCCTGGCCTCAAGAAAACACATGTTTCTTTTTCTTCTTTTTTCAAACCCGCGGAGGGAAATCCAAAACACACACACACACACGGTGCTTTTGCATTGTGGTCAAAAAACTGGGGAAAACCAAACACTGAAAAATATTAAACAAAAGAAAGGGTCCCGGCTTCATGGTTTTGTGTTTTTGGTTGTTTGTTTTGTTTTGGACTTTTCGAAAGTGCCTTTGGTGCCGAAAATCAATTCTTTCTAGAAGCTAGTCCTAGGCAATGTAGCTTGCTAGGCACAATTCGTGATTTGTTTTCCAAAAACTGTGCTTTCCCAAGCTGTTCATGAGCAAGTTCATCTTCCATGTAAAAAATGTAATAGCAAATGCAATCTGATAAATAGAAATGAACATCCTTATCACGCTTCTTTATCTTAGTCATAACTCGTGTTTTTCTAGCGATACTTAATTGAGAACGGTGTGGCCTTCACGTGTAAATATTTACTTAGATTGAATTACGAACGAGGCTTCGAAGGGGATGTCTTGGGGTGTGGCATCTTAATACAAAAGGCAATTAATTTCAATAACTATCGAAGCCAAGATGAGGACTTCTTAGGTTGTGTTTTTGAGGCTGTGGCCGTGCAATTTAAAAGTCCATTAAGATGTTGATTTTGAATCAGGCTTAACGAGGATGTCTTGGGGTGTGGCCTTTCAATTTTTCAATTCTACTCAAGTGGCCAGACGAAGTCCAGATGAGGGTTTTTTAGGGTGTGTGGTGTTTAAATACAAACGTCAAAATACGCCAGAGGAGGATTCAATAGGGTGTGGTCAGCAAAAGAAAACTCCAATTTGACAATAACGAATGAGGCTTAGAAGAGGCGTGGCCTCTTCATATACTTGCTTTACTCGGGTTTAATTGCGAACGAAGGGCTTTATCATACACAAGTCTATGGGCATCTCATGAAGAGGCACCAGATTAGGATTTCACAGGGTGTGGCCTGTAAGTATCGAATTATTATCTTAGGGCGTGGACTTCTCATAAAAATCAGTTTTTCAATAAACTACGAAGGAAGCCCAAATCTTATGAGATCTTGTTACGAACAGGCGGGCTGCAGAAACGGATTTCATAGGGCGCGGCCGCAAATCGAGATTTGATAATTTGATGAGGCCAGAGGATTTCCCAGAGAAAAGTCTCTAAGGATATGGCCTTGTAAATACAAATTCCGAATTAGATTTAAATACAATTTGATGTGCCCGAAAGGCTTTCCGACCTAGATCATGGGGGGGGAAGGGGGGGTGAATACGGTTGCGGGTCGCGATTCGCGGTCGCACCCTTCCTAGACCCCAAACCCCAAACCCCAATCCCCACAACCACACCACGGGGGAGGAGGGGGGGATCATGTATGTGTGTATGTTGATTTCACTTTTTGTGTACAGATACGTATAGTTACAGATTTCATGAAGACCTGCAGTGGAAGAGGGATGCAGAGAGAGCAAGATAGAGAAACGAGACAGAGAGACAGAGAGACAGGGAGACAGAGAGGCAGAGAGGCAGAGAGGCAGAGAGGCAGAGAGGCAGAGAGATGTATCGAGAGGCAGAGAGGCAGAGAGACAGAGAGACAGAGAGTCATGGAGACATATAGACAGAAAGAACAAACAAGATGTGATTCCAACCAGCAGCCAGGAGCTCGGGCGCAGCTTCATCAAGGCACTTGGGGATGTGTAGGCTTCAGCAAGATGCATAGACTGCATAGATCAGAGAGAGAGAGAGATAGAGAGCGAGAGCGACACAAACAGACAGACAGACGGAGCCAGCTTGCCCTTGCGCCCAGTTGTCTTTCAGGCTTTCGCAGGGTGCCTCAAGGAAAACTCCACGATCACGCACATCGACCTCCATGGCGAAGAAATTGGCGACGCAGGTGTTGAGGTGCTGTCGGTTGCTCCTTGGCCTCGCTTTGCCTCTGAGCCGCTCCCCTGTTTTTTTGTCAGGCACTGGCAGGGTGCCTCAAGGAAAACTCCACGGTCACGCACGTCAACCTCGGGAGCAACCAAATCGGCGATGCAGGTGCTGAGGCCCTGTCGGTTGCTCGGTGGCCTCGCTTTGCTTCCCTGCCGCGCTCCCATGTTTTGTTGTTTGTCAGGCTTTGGCAGGGTGCCTCAAGGACAACTCCACGGTCACACACATCAACCTGGAGGGCAACAGAATCGGCTTCGCAGGTGCTGAGGCGCTGTCGGTTGCTCGGTGGCCTCGCTTTGCCTCCCTGCCGCGCTCCCATGTTTTGGTTTGTCAGGCTTTGGCAGGGTGCCTCAAGGAAAACTCCACGGTCACGCACATCAACCTCGGGAGCAACGAAATCGGCGATGCAGGTGCTGAGGCCCTGTCGGTTGCTCGGTGGCCTCGCTTTGCCTCCCCGCCCTGTTTTTTTTTGGTCAGGCGTTGGCAAGGTGCCTCACGGAAAACTCCACTGTCACGCACATCAACCTCTGGCTCAACGGAATTGGGGACGCAGGTGCTGAGGCCCTGTCGGTTGTTCGGTGGCCTCGCTTTGCCTCCCTACGGCTCCTCTGTGTGTTTGGTCAGGCTTTGGCAGGGTGCCTCAAGGAAAACTCCACGGTCACGCACATCAACCTCGAGATCAACATCATCGGCGTTGCAGGTGCTGAGGCCCTGTCGGTTGCTCGGTGGCCTCACTTTGCTTCCCTGCCCCGCTCCCATGTTTTGGTTTGTCAGGCGTTGGCAGGGTGCCTCAAGGACAACTCCACGGTCACGCACATCAACCTCGGACGCAATGGAATCGGCAGTGCAGCTGCTGAGGCCCTGTCGCTTGCTCTGTGGCCTCGCTTTGCCTCCCTACAGCTCCCCTGTTTTTTTCAGGCGTTGGCAGGGTGCCTCAAGGAAAACTCCACGGTCACGCACATCAACCTCGGGGGCAACGGAATCGGCAGTGCAGGTGCTGAGGCCCTGTCGGTTGCTCGGTGGCCTCGCCTTGCCTCCCTGCCGCGTTCCTTTGTTTTTTTGTTTGTCAGGCATTGGCAGGGTGCCTCAAGGAAAACTCCACGGTTACGCACATCGACCTAGAGGTCGGCGATGCAGGTGCTGAGGCCCTGTCGGCCGCGCCTGAGCTTTGCCTTCTTTCTTGGTCCCACTGCTCCCCTGAGGCAAGGGGAGCCGTTGAGGCGGCCCTCGAGCACAACCGCAAGCTGGCGCAGGCCGGCTAGAATCACTCGCCGTGTCGCGCAGTAATTCTTGCATCACATTCGCTGCTGGCACCAGTGCAGTTGTCAGTTCTCTGCAGTCGGTTGGTCTTACTTTCTGCGAAATTGTTAAATTGGCGGCAAACTTGTGTGGTAAAGACAGGCGATCTCGACAGCGGTGGCATTGTTGTTGTAGCTATCTGATTGGTAAGAAGAGTTGAGTTCCCCGGCTGGCCTTTGCAACGATTGTGAGGGATTACGCGTAAACTGTCGGGTGTTGTGGCCTGGTCATGGGGATTACTCCTTGACGTTTGGTGTTGCTGATGCTCTCTCTTATATTTGAGGAATGAACTCGGAGCTGACCCGCAGAAACGTTTCAGGTTTGCCCAGGTCCCAGGTCGAGAGACATGTTGGGGACGGGCCAGGAGAATCAGCATGTGCATTGCAACGGGACTCTCCAAGGAGGCCAACCTATCTAGCTCTTTGTCGCATTCCCTGGAAGCAAGAAGCGCCTGCTGGCAGGCGGTGGAGCGCGAGGATCAGCCTGTGGGCCGGGGGATGCTTCCCGGACATCCGCGCATGAAGGAGAGGGCGGGGCAGAGATCATACCATGCTCCTGAACCGTGAATGGAACACCAGCCGTGCCTAACCGCCCGATGTCTCAACAAACAACAGAGCTAAAGCCAAAGCTTGCGCAACACACTCTAGTATTTCAGGGATTGGTGCGACTCCTGGAGCAGAATGACGTGGTCACGCGCATCAACCTCCGGAACAGCCAAATCGGCGATGCAGGTGCTGAGGCCCTGTCGGTTGCTCGGTGGCCTCTCTTTGCCTCCCTGCCACTCCCTTGATTTGTTTGTCAGGCTTTGGCAGGGTGCCTCAAGGGAAACTCCACTGTCACGCACATCGACCTCGCATGCAACAACATCGGCAGTGCAGGTGCTGAGGCCCTGTCGGTTGCTCGGTGGCCTCTCTTTGCCTCCCTGCCACTCCCTTGATTTTTTTGTCAGGCTTTGGCAGGGTGCCTCAAGGAAAACTCCACGGTCACGCGCATCAACCTCGGGGGCAACGGAATCGGCCTCGGCAACGAAATCGGCGATGCAGGTGCTGAGGCCCTGTCGGTTGCTCGGTGGCCTCGCTTTGCCTCCCTGCCACGCTGCTCTGTTTTCTTGTTTGTCAGGCTTTGGCAGGGTGCCTCAAGGAAAACTCCACGGTCACACACATCAACCTGGAGGGCAACAGAATCGGCTTCGCAGGTGCTGAGGCGCTGTCGGTTGCTCGGTGGCCTCGCTTTGCCTCCCTGCCGCGCTCCCCTGTTTTTTTTGTTTGTCAGGCTTTGGCAGGGTGCCTCAAGGAAAACTCCACGGTCACGCACATCAACCTCGGGAGCAACGAAATCGGCGATGCAGGTGCTGAGGCCCTGTCGGTTGCTCGGTGGCCTCGCTTTGCCTCCCTACAGCTCCCTTGTTTTTTGTTGTCAGGCATTGGCAGGGTGCCTCAAGGAAAACTCCACGGTCACATACATCAACCTCAGAAACAACAAGCTCGGCGATGCAGGTGCTGAGGCCCTGTCGGTTGCTCGGTGGCCTCGCTTTGCCTCCCTGCCGCGTTCCTTTGTTTTTTTTGTTTGTCAGGCTTTGGCAGGGTGCCTCAAGGAAAACTCCACGGTCACGGACATCGCGCTCAACTACAACAAAATCGGCGATGCAGGTGCTGAGGCCCTGTCGGTTGCTCGGTGGCCTCGCTTTGCCTCCCTACAGCTCCCTTGTTTTTTGTTGTCAGGCTTTGGCAGGGTGCCTCAAGGAAAACTCCACGGTTACGTACATCGACCTAGATGACAACTTCGGCGATGCAGGTCGTGAGGCCCTGTCGGCCGCGCCTGAGCTATGCCTTCTTTCTTGGGCCCACTGCTCTGCTCCCCTCAGGCTTGGGGGGACATTTTTGAGGCCCTCAAGGACAACAGCCGTCTGGCGCAGGCCGGCTAGAATCACTCGCCGTGTGGCGCAGTACTTTTTGCAGTCAGTCCTTCTCACGCATGGCTCGTAGCGTTACATCCTAAACCCCAAGTCCCTATTTATTTTTAGTTTTGTTGTTTTTGGCTTCTTTGGTAGAGCTTCTTTCTTATTGCGAGGATTATGATTACCTGAAACCCGCTAAGGTTGAGTTTCACTTCGGCAACCCCCCCCCCCCCCCCCCCACAAAAAAAAAAAAAACAAAACAACTAAACCTCTAAGCCTTGCATAGGCAGCTTGTTTTTCGAAACTGGTTCTTTTCGGGGTTTGGGTTTTGGGTTTCAGTCTGAAATTGCATGAAGCTAAAGGAGCTCTTACAGCATTCCATATTCTACTTTGTAATCCCGATGAAAAGCCTCCCTAACCGGCCGAGGCGAATTTTAGAATTGCGGGGGGGGGGGGGGGGGGTTAGTATCAGGGGGAGGGGATTAGGGCAAGTTTAGGGTTTAGGTTTTGGCAAGTTTTGGGTTTAGGGCTTAGGGTTTGGGGCGTATATCTTGGGTTTCAAGTTTCGTATTCTTTGCAGCTGGTAGCCTCTCAACTAGGGCTGAATGGGCGCTGCGCGATTCTCTGCGGACCCCGACGAGGCGAACTCCCTTAGGGTTTTGGGTTTTGGGCTTAGGGTTTCGCAAACAGCTTCGCCGAAATCAATTAGGTTCAATGTCGCAATAAGCATAGCGAACCATGAGCCTTGTCCGAAAGTACCCCACAAACCCTGCCGACTACACGACAACGAATAACCCAGACAAGAACCCAAAGCCCAAATACCAAGACCACGACCTTTGAGCATTGCACAGGCAGCATGAGGTTGTGTTTCGAAGTTTTTTTGTTTTTTTTTTGTTGGGGGGGGGGGGGGGGGTTAGGGGTTTATATTCGTGTGTGTGTTAGTTTCAGGTGTGGTGTCATGGTTTCGGGTTTAGGGTTTAGGGTTTAGGGTTTAGGGTTTATGAAACGAAGAGACTTCCTACGACAATCCACCTCCAAGTGTCTGTCGGAAGATGGCTTCTAAGCCCCAGGAGCCCTAGACAAAGCCCCCCGCGCCCTATAAAGCAAAAATCCAAGTCCTAGATCCTAAACCCTAAAACCCCTAAAACCCCTAAAACCCCTAAAAACCCTAAAAACCCTAAAAACCCTAAAAACCCTAAAAACCCTAAACCCTACTGCCCTCCAGCCCGGTGCTCTTTAGGCTGAAGCTATGGTGCCTCAAACATGGGCTCAGCCTTTTGGGGAACCCTGTGGTGCCCTTTGGCCTTTTCTTTTTTTCAAGTGGCCAACAACAAAAAGGGTACCCTTATTATAGTATGCCTGCTCGGCTACCAAGGGTTAGTATAATTTACAAGAATCCCAAACTGGGCCCATTCTGTAAATCCTAGATTCTGTGCCTTTTGAGGCAGCACCGAAAGTCGCTGCAGCAGCTCTTCCGCCAGGCGGCTGTTCTAGCTTTAAACTTTAGGTAGTCTTTCGGCTTTAGGGGTCTTCCTAAGGTCTAACCAGGACTCACAAACAGCAGGAGATCTCCGGGAGGTGTAACTTTTTGCCACAGAACAGGCGCTGGGTAAGCCCTTTAGAGGTTTTGCACTTTATCTAAAATGTTGGGATGTTCCCCTTATACTAACAGTCCTTAACCGGGATGATTATAGGGTACTAGAATCCCGATGAAGGACTGTTAGTTTGGGGGGGGGAACATCCCAACTTATAGGGTTCAAAGGGACCATATTTTGGAACATTTTCGAAGGCCATCCTAGGGAGAAGTTGTCACATGCCAGCTCAGTTTCGGACTCTGACTTCCGGCAAAAAGGGACCATTTCCCCTTGGCAATACCTGTGGCTTCTAAACCCTAACCCCGATAAACCCTGAACCCTAAACACTAACCCCTATATAAACCTTAAACCCCTTCTGATCATTTTTGGGGAACCACAAGGGAGGTTGCCGATTCCGATGCAGCCGGATGGTTGTGTCTAACGGGTTGTTAAGGTTTATAGGGTTTACAGGATTTTGTTGGGCTTTTAAGGGAAGTGGTTGTTTTTTAGGCGTTTCGGAGGTTGATGGTGCTTCTTCCCCCCCCCCCCCCCCCCGGAACCCCGTAAATCAGGTGTGGGAGCCATGTGGAGCCTCATGGTCTAGCTTCCTCATAAGGACCTCCCTTACATGGGTCTTCTTTGGGGGATCTCTTCAGCTGTGAGTTTAGGGTTGAGGGTTTAGGGTTTAGGGTTAAGGGTTTAGAAGACAAACTTGCAGCAAGGCCAGGCTTGCAGCGAATTCTGAAGAGCCCTGAAAGACCCTCAACCCCAGGCCCAAGCTGTTGAGCCCGACACTTGCAAAGAAGATTTTGCAGCAGTTTATATGAGAATCAATACGGTTTAGGGCTTGCGGCTTAGGGTTTAGGGCTCAGGGTTTAAGAGCATTTCATGTGTTCTTGCAAAGAAGATTCTGCTGCAGCTTCTGTGTGTGTGTGTGTGTTTACGATACTAGGGGTGCCTTACTGAGGTGCTTATTATAAGAGAATCCTACTATTTGGTGGTCTATATTAGGGGTCCCTTGTTTTCGTAAACCCCCATATGAGAATCCATACGGTTTGGGGCTTAGGGCTTAGGGTTTAGGGCTCAGGGTTTAATGGCATTATATTTGTTCTTGCAAATACGCCTGAAAACACAGCCGAACAAAGCCCAGCCGAGGACCAAAGGAATCCTCAGCCTCAAACCCTAACCCCTAAACCCTAAACCCTAAACCCTAAACCCTAAACCCTAAACCCTAAAGCCTTGGTTTAGGGTTCAGGGTTCAGGGTTTGGGGCGCGAGAGAAGTCGATCAGGCTGGTGTGAGCATCTGGATCCTGCATCGGGACATCTCTACTACTGGCGAGAGGCGCGGGCGACGCTTTAGGGTTTAGGGTTTAGGGTTTAGGGTTTAGGATTTAGGGTTTAGGGTTTAGGGTTTAGGGTTTAGGGTTTAGGGTTTAGGGTTTAGGGTTTAGGGTTTAGGGTTTAGGGTTTAGGGTTTAGGGAGTTGAGCTCCTGCGTGTGGCGATGGTCACATGGTCCAAGCGCATACCCGTGGCTCGAAATACCCCAAAACCTGAATGATTAGATCCCAAACCACAGCTAAAGCCTGAAGCCCTCACCCCCTCGCCCTCAAAACCTTCAAACCACCAGGACGATACTAATCCCTCCATTGCCCTTATAAGGAGCAATCTTTCCACATATCTTGGGGATTTCTTCAGCAAATAGTAGTGGACCCCGTAGACCCATGAGCCTTCAAACCACCAGGACAATCCGGCCGGTACGACGACGTGGACCCGACCATCTGCTTGAACCTGCAAAGCTCAGCCGCACCTCTCGAAGGATCCCTATTTGGGTTAGGGTTTAGGGTTTAGGGTTTAGGGTTTAGGGTTTAGGGTTTAGGGTTTAGGGTTTAGGGTTTAGGGTTTAGGGTTTAGGGTTTAGGGTTTAGGGTTTAGGGTTTAGGGTTTAGGGAAGGATCTCCTGTTCGCTTCAAGATTTTTCGGGTATGGCCCTCTACTGGGTACTACTCTTGGAATACTGCTCCCAAAGGGGCTTGATTCTTGGGGGTTTTGGGTTTAGGGCTTAGCGTCTTGAGGCACATGGGCCTATGGAACTGAACAATCTCCCGGAGTTCCCGACTTCGAGCTCTCAAGCCTAAGAACCTCGCAGCCTAGGCTACAGCCTCGCTCCTCAAAGCTCCTCGAATCCACCAGAAGGTCCATACTTCACGGAAGGGTTCAGCGGGCACAACCTCCACCACCTTTCATTTATGAAGCGGCTTGGTTGCGATGTTCCTTGCGCTTGAACCGCCCGAAACCCTAAGCACCCTAAACCAGCCAAGCCCGCTGCGCGGAGGTCATGGGAAGGCTATGCAGGTTCTACGACAGCCAGGCCATGATGCTGGAGAGGGCAGGGGGTTCCCGCTCAGCATGTGATCTCTTGTTACTAGGATTCAGGGCCCAGGGTTTCTGATGGGAACTCCAACTCAACTAATGCTAGGATGCCCAGTAGTACCCTTATTCCCTTTTTGGGGGGCTTAGGTTCCCTTATAAACCCCTTTAAGCAAAAAAAGGGCACCCTTTTTAAGCCTAGGTTACTGGGCAGCCTAGAATGTTAACGTCGTCTTTTTAGATGGGGTGGTAATTGTAGTATTCGGCAGGACAGCGGGCCCCGGCCCAAGACTACTCGGGAGGTTTTCGGGCTGATGTGTGTAAACAAACCCAGAAAGGGGGGTCCGAGTTCGATGATACTAATAATGGGGTGACACTTGTAAGAATTTTTGCTGGCCAGAAGTAGTCTGGATAAGAATTCCTGAAGCTTGAAACTTCAGCCTTCGGGTCCTGGTTTATGGCTTAAGATTAGAGTCCCCTAAGCTTAAGACTTCAGCCTTCGTGTCCTGGTCGAAGGCTTAGTACAAGAATCCCTTAAGCTTAAGACTTCAGCTTTCGGGTCCTGCAAGTCTGGAGACCGCCAGAGGTCTGAAAGCAAGGTTTCTTTGCTTAAATCCTTATGCACGGGGGCTCCCAGACCCCCAGACCCCAGACCCCCAGAACCCAGACCCCCAGGAATACATATTGATTTCGCCCCCTCGTTTTTTCCACCCCCAAGACCCCGAAAACCAAAACAAAATCTGGGGGGTGGGTCCTGACTCTTCAGTAGCACCTTCTATAACCCGAGTCGCGACTCCATAAAACCTCGTCTCCTGCGCGGAACTCTGGTTCGTTTTGGTTTGTACAAAGCTCCAAGGCGAAATAAAATAAATCAGTAATTTCGCATATTTGATGCAATATAAAATGTGTTCCAGTGAAGAGGCACTGACTACCGCAGCTGCTTTCGGGTTGAGGGTTTGGTGTTTAGAGTTTGGGGCTCGATTTCATCCCCTGCACCCCGAAACCCTCCCTTAAACACTAAACCCTCAAACCTCAACCCGGAACTGCAGCAGGTGGCTGCGGCGCGGTTCGTTCATGGTTTGATGCGCGTGCGCCTCGGCCGCCACTTGGGGTGACTGTTATGTTTTCGTGGTCCGGCGTTCAGGATAGATACAATCTCTCACCATGCTGCACACCTGTTCAAGAAAGGGCATGCGCCACAGTTCCACTTAAATGCGGACCCAACACCTTCCCAGAAACACTTCCTTCACCCTAAACCCTAAACCCTAAGCCCTAAACCCTAAACCCAAAGCCCTAAACCCTAAACCCTAAACCCGAACCACTGAAACCACAACCCCTAAACCTTTCAGCCCAGTCATGGCGGGGGGGGGTTAAAATGTCACCCGACCATGAACCCCCAGCACGGGCTTGAGGCGGGCTTTGGGGTTGATTGCGCAAATTGTGGTTTAGGGTTTAGGGTTTGGGGTTTAGGGTTTAGGGGTCGAACTTTAGCAGGGCTTTGGGGTGGATTGCTTTGGGGAGTTAGGGTTTAAGGTTTTGGGTTTTGGGTTTCGGTTTTGGCGCGCGGGAGACGTCGATCAGGCTGGAGTGAGCACCTGGATCCCCCATCCGGACGGACGTCTCTGAGGCGCGGGCGAGGAGAGTTCAGTTCGTGCGCGTGG